CATTTTCGATTTCGATCTTTCTAAATATGTGTTATTAACAGATCTAATGTTCATATATGTGTTGATGACATTGCATAAGGAAGGTTTAACGTATTACATACAAGTTTAAACGCTTGAATCCCAGACTTTCATTTCTAGGGCATAACCTTAAAATGCACTCGGAACGCTTGATACATTGATGATCCATTAAATTTAAACGCAGACTCGAATTGGAGAGATATTCGAATAGGGAAGGGATTTGAATCACGGAGGTAAAGTCCCCTCTGGATCTCTAATGTTTGTTTATGTTACAAGAAACAGTTTCTCAGGTTTTCCCCAACAGAATATTTTAGGGCTTCGAAGCAGCCAAGCTTCGAACTAGGTGACAGGAACCTTTTGCCAATAACCTTTGATTCAGACTCTGGTGATTCGATTCAGGGTGACACAGCCATGCTATCGAATCCAGGACCAAATTCGATTTAAGTCCAGGATTTTGTTTTGTTTTCTTTTTCTAATGAATTCCTTGCAGGTCCAGTATTCCAGATCGAAGGATGACACATCCAGATCGAACACCTCCAGATGTGCATTCTCTCAGGAACCTTTGATCAAGACTCTTCATTAGATCGAAAGGAAACCCAAGCCTCTTCGATCGAGGCCTTCCTTCCAAGAATGCACTCTTTTCATTTACTGTTTTTGTCTTTCAATTTTGTCCTTTCTTTTGATTGTTTTTCTTTATTTCTTCTAAGCTTTAATTAACATTAAAAAACCATAAAACATTTGGCTTAACTTTTTATATTAAAATAATTTTGTCAATTAATTATTAATTACCTTAACATTTTTTTTTAGAATTAAAATTGAATAGACTTAGGATTTTTAATTCAATTTCTTTTCATAACAAAAACAACAACAAAAAATCCTTTCACTTAGGATTTTAGACGTATTTTCAATTCATGCGCGCGTTTATTTACTTTTGCATTTTTTTATTATTGTAACTGCCTACTGGTTTGTAATAATAATTAGGATTTTACTTTCCGCATTTTTATAATGTATCTCTCCTAAAGTCGTGTAATAACTTAGGATTTATTTTTCTGCATTTAATTTTTCGCACATTTATTGCTTTATTATTTTACTATATTACTGTTAGTAAATAGGCTAACAAAAAGACAAAAAATAACTGAATCTCAACAAAATCGCACATGCGCACCTCTAGGGTACCCCCCACTCTGGTTGCCTTTGAAAACGGTCACAATTCTCGAAACGTGAGAATTTTTAGTGGCTGTCCTTTAGTTCAAGAGATCACAAGTCCCTCGATGACCATTTCGATGTCGCCTCGGTTAAAAAGTGATCTTAGAACTTTAGGACAATTACTAAAGTTCTTGCCAAGTTTCCTTAGTGACTGTAAACATCCCTTCGATAGTCCCTCAACATTCAACGATATGGCTACCTACTCACTAATAGTAGAATAGCATTATCTAAAGGAAAGGAGGAAAAGAACGCTTTTTTCGAGTAGGTAGATAACTGTTAGGTACTTGCTCAAAAACAACCTTTTCACACTACACTTTCAAAAAAAATTTCAAACGCTTTATCAACACTCTTGAGGACTGATACAAGAGTTATCATAAAGGAAACAAACTTTTCAAAACACACAAACACGAAAGCAATTTTCTAAAATGAGCAAGTACCTAAGAGCCCGTGGAAAACCACTGATGAAAAAGGTGCTAACTCCTTCCCTTTCCATAATCTACCCCCTTACTCAGAAAATCTTGAAAAAGGTTTTTTTCTGTTCTTTTCACCCTTTCCTTTGTTGGATAAAAGAAAAGTCGGTGGAGACTCTTGCTTACTGCACATTTGAGAATACAAAATGCATAACCAGTATAACAGTCAGTTCTTCCACCGTATAAAAAAGAGGTTTCTGGTGCTGGACTTGGTAGGGCGGATTACGGTCCGATCCACCACAGCTACAATAGGGAAAATAAAGGGGTTGCACCAATTAATGTACAAGAGCCCAATGCATATGATCATAATCACTAATTGGTCGCCTTACTATGAGTATGTACGGATAATAGGTTTAATGTGATTGCACCTGAATTAAAAGGGATTTGAGTGGGATGAATAAGGTAGGCATGTGTATAGTCGCATGATATGGATTTGTTTATATATGAAGGAAACTTATGACCGTAACCGCGGAAAGTGTTACCACAATCTCCTTGTTTCATTAATCAATACCTATCAACACAACCTTGATCGAACTTAACGTCTTTTAGCCTAAATTGAATATTTGTGTGTTGCTTTCTATGCTCATAAGAGTTTGTTTAAGGACAAGCAAAGGTTTAAGTGTGAGAGAGTTTGATAGCACGAAATTACACCATTTATTTGACTCGATTTGTGCATGTTTTACCGTCGATTTAGTTTAGATTTTCCCTATTATGCTGTTGTTTTGCTTGTTTTCATTTATTTAGCAGTTTGAGAGCCTTCCGCAAAGAAACGAAGCAAAATAGGCAAAAAACAGAAGAAATTGAGCAATTTGCACACAAGGTGTTCAAGATGAAGTTTTCTATGAGAAAGCCAAAAATGAGAAAATAAAAGGAAAATTCAAAGAAAGACAAAGGAAAACTCACATGATAGGATTATAGTCGAATAACGCCCCATTTGAAGAGTTATAAAGCTAACATAGAGATCTACATCATAAAAAATAGACTCTTGGAATCCTCCAACAAAACATGGCACCCGTCATCCCCTTCATGGTGGCTGCCATCTTTGAAAATAGAGAAACAGTTATTAGAAGTTGTAGAATCCAATCCACTACCCCACGATTGGAAGATGGCGCCCGCCATCTCTATATGGCGCCCACCACCCTTTATTTTTTCCAGGCGGTTGAAACCAACTTCATTGGTGAAGGAAGGGCAGTTTTGTACTTCCCAAGGTTTTTGTTTTCTATAAATAGGCCTTAGATTGTCTCATTTGGATCATTCACTCTTAATTGCAACATTAGGCGTAAACTTACTCTATAAAAGAGATAATTCGTCACATCGATGGATTATTGCACCATGGTTGTAATCGAGTTGGATCATAGTAGATATGAGATTTAATCTTTCCACCATTTTACTTTCAAGTCAAGTTTATATCAAGTTTGTACCAGATTCAAGTCTCCGATTTGGAGCAAGTCATTAATTCATTTAGCATTTGCGCTTTATTTATATTGCCTTTACTTCTCTCTGTCTTATGTTTACTTTCGCACTTAAAACCATTTACATTTTATTAAACATATCCAGCGAATTTATTAGTGCTAGGATGTGAGGATCTTCAACAGACAATGCTCTACATGTTGTTTCTTTAGGATTACCTTTATGGGCTGTTTTGATTTAAAAGAAATTTTTCTGAACTTATTTTAATCTGCCCGCACGAAAGTGACACAGTGAAAACGTCGGGTAAGATCGAAAGTCGTCCGACACTAAAGACTAAAATTGGTTTGTTTTTAATTAACAAATATCGTTAAAGTACTTTGTTAATTAATTAGGGAGTCTAATATTTTTAGGAAGTGATTCTAAAACTTTATGAAAGCGTGTTGTTTATATATTTATGATCTGGTTCCTTGAGCGAAATCCAGAAACCCTTTTAAGTTAGACTTTCCAATCAAGATCACTTTTCAACCGAGCTAAGAGTTAAATTTCTTAAAAATAGGTTTACTACTTTAACTCGATAAACACCTTCCATAAGTGACAATGGAGGGCATTAATTAGAGTGTAAATTTGATTCTGAATACGCGAAAGCGACAGTTCCCGTTAAATTGATTCTTCTCAAAGTAGAAAATATTGGTCCATAAGTAGTTCTATGTAGAAACAATTTGAGTACTGTATGACTGACGTGAATTACATTCAAGCCTGCATTTTATCTGAATTTATTTTCTCCATTATTTATTTTCCTGTGTACTCAAAAATACTTATTTGATTTGCCTTAGATAAACACTGTAACAATCAGTAATGATAGATTTGACTCTTGGTCTCTGTGGTTCGACAAATCTTTTATATTACTTCGATAGGTTCGTGCATTTGCAGAATCCCCCATCATGAAGTGAAGTTGACCGACATCTTCACCAAAGGATTGAAGATCGACATATTCTTGAATTTGAGAAAGAAATTAGAAATAATTCATATTGACTATGATTAACGTAGGTTCGACGACTTGGATTATAGGGGGGTATGTTGAGATATTAGATATAATATCAAATATAATTCAAGTTAGATATGTTGAGATATTAGATATAATATCAAATATAATCCAAGATAGAAAGCCAAATCTCAATTAGAATTATATATAAATAGTCATAATTTGTATCATTATTTGCACAATCCAATTCAAGTTAGTAATAAAATCCTTATTTTTTGTTATTCTTTCTTTCTCTAGTCACTAAAAGTATCTCACTCACTAACAAAAATAGGGTTCGCGACCGCGATAACAATCACGACCAAACAGTGTTAGGAGATGTTGATACTGATACCGTTATCATCGTTTTTTATGTTAAAGAACAAATTATTATAGTAAATTTATATCGTGACGACCGCAATCAATGTTGCGACATCGATAACGACAAAAATCCCAAAAACCTTTATGTAACTGCGACTGTTTTTTTAAATTCTGACCACAGCACCCGCAACCGCGTTCTTAATTTAAAACCATGCATGTGAGTATGGTTCAAGCACACGTTTAATACAATGCAAAGGAAAAGTTTTTCTTGTTTGTTGCTGTAGACTTGTTATTGTTTAAAAGTCATACTCAGCAAATACTATTACCAAATAACATTCTATATAGAGAATCTATAAAAAGAACCACACCATAACCCTACAAAACCTGCTATGAAAAAAATTACAAAATTACTATGCGGGCGCATGCAAATACACTGACAATTTCTAAAACCAAAAAAAAACTGAAAAAGTCATCTCCACAGTCCATCGTTTTTCCTTATTAACTATCTTCAATTCTTCACTACCTATCCATAGATCCCATCCCATCCCATCAACCGCATGCATATTGATATCACCATGCAAACTCATCACTTCTCATCATCTTATGGCAGTGCCTCCTGCACCAGTTTAGATGATGAAAATTCAATCTTCCTCTCTCTTGCTCCTCCTGGCCACCAACATTTACCACCTTCCAAACTCTCATCCCCTCATATCCCTCCACTGCAACTCAAAACAACTACTTCCACTACCACTCCACCTCAGTATTGGATCCCTTCTCCTTCTCAAATCCTTATCGGTCCAACCCAGTTTTCTTGCACTGTCTGCAACAAAACCTTCAACCGTTTCAACAACATGCAGGTTAGAATATATAGCAGCTCAGCTTGTTACCAGTTTGTCTGTATAATCTTTTGTATATATATATATATAATAGAATCTTAATATATAGATAGTCTCATTTTGCTGCACCTTATTTTCTTTTCTTTTCATGAATGATATATGATATGAATATTAATTGTTATATGTTTCGCAGATGCATATGTGGGGACATGGATCACAATATAGGACAGGACCTGAATCCCTTAGAGGGCCAAAACCAGCGTCGTCTTCATCAATACTGAAACTCCCCTGCTATTGTTGCGCTGAGGGTTGCAAGAACAACATAAATTATCCAAGGTCAAGGCCACTAAAAGATTTCAGGACACTTCAAACACACTACAAGAGAAAGCACGGGGGGAAATCGTTCGAGTGCAGGAAGTGTAGGAAGACATTTGCTGTGAGAGGAGATTGGAGGACACATGAGAAGAATTGTGGGAAGCTTTGGTTTTGTATCTGCGGTTCTGATTTCAAACACAAAAGATCACTAAAAGATCATGTTCGTACTTTCGGTAGTGGCCACGATCCACACACATTGGAATCTATTAGTTTTGATGAACACAAAGAAAATGGAAATTACAAGGAAGAAGAAGATGAAGAAAATGGAAGTGAAGATGAAGAAGACAATGACAGTGAAGTTGCTATTACTTTTAACTAAAAAAATAGTTCTAAGTTTTTATTTTTTGTTTTTTTGTTACTTTTGCAAACTACTAGTAATCTTATCTAGCAGTAGTACTTGCATTGTTTCATCATCTTTGTCTGATAGAAAGAGAGTGAAAAGGAGAGTGAGAACACAGAGACAAACAGTGAAAAGAAAACTCAGGTTCTTGTTGCATTAAATGGTTCATTCATGCTTCTTCAATATTGCTTTTTTATGTGATTTAAAGAGAAAAGAGAGAGTAACGTAACGGAAGGTAGTGATGAAGAGTATCGAGTGAGAGCATAGAAGACACAGATTCTACTGTTGTAAACATGTGTAATTGTCTAGGTGATTCTAAGGTTGGACAATAGCTTGTAACGCTAAGATGAAGTGTTAGTGTCAGTGAGAGTAAAGATGGACCACTGATACATGCTGTTGCTTTTGGTGTTTCACTCAAATGGTTCTCTTTTGCCTTTTCAGAACAACTACAAACAGTTGCTATATGAAACATTTTCAGTCAGAGACTTACTGTTTTTCTATTTTTTGTTACGTATCTTACTGTTTTTTTAACCTACCGGTGCAAAAGTTATTGATCATAGTAATCAAAACAATCATATGCTTATCTATTTACTTAATGCATGTATTGTGTGTTGCCTTTTTCTCTTCCTTTTTCTGTGTTACATTAGATGGAAAGTAAGCAGAATGAAAACAAATCATGTGGACCAATCCATAAAGATTGTATAACCAGTTGATGTTTTTGCATTTAAAATAATTTTGAAAAATAGTTCTTATCACCAAAGAGATTACTACCTCTAGCTCTGTCGTCTAATATGTGGTTCTCTTGTGACACTGCTAAAAATTATGTAAACTGAGTATTAACTATTACTTAAACAAAATAACTCAATTACATTGTCGTAATACTATTGCAATTTAGAAACCGTTCTAGAATCACACTCTCAAATATGTATGTTGATCTTTCGTAATAATTTCTCAAACAATGAGAATTGTCTCGAGACCGACTAATCTTTGTAGAAATTTCTTCAGAGGCAACATTTCTATGTAGAGAAATACTTTTAATGGCAGCAAAAAAATACTCGAAAATCACAACGAAAAGAAATGACTCTAAAAACTCAGAGCAGAAATACTAGACAAGATAGAAAACTCAAAAGTTTTGGTGTGGAACCAAAGCTGAGCAAAGCTCTCTATTTATATTAAAAAATTTCAATATCGGTCCTTGAATATACAATCAGGGTTTTAAAAAACGATCGTGGTCGCATAAAGACTTTCGTGATTTTGATTGATACAGATATCGCGACACTGGTTATGGTCGTTGTGATATGAATTAACCAAAATTTATTTTTGATATAGAAAACAAGGATCAGTATTGTCATCTGTCAAAATTGTTTCGTCGCGGCCATTTTCGCAATCACAGACCATTTTTTAAAATCGATATAGATCAATTGACCATTAATAAAACTAAAGGTTTGATAACAAAATTGTTGACACATAGAAAAATTGACCATACAAGACATACTAGTGTGTGCCCCACAATGTACAAAGCTAAAAAAATATAACAACTAACCCAGAGTCCTAGTCTCTAATTGAGGCAAGCAAATAGATGTGACCACACTTGTTATGTTAAAATTTATACCTCTTAAGGAAAACCTTCAAGAAGACTACCTCTATTATATAAACAATTTAAAATAATGAAAAAGGGTGTTTATCTTTGTTAGAAAAGAACTTTTATCTCAATTGGGTGGGTGAAATAACATAGGTGAAACTTGAAAACACACAACTTTTATTATTGGTTAGATATATTAGGCGATGAGAAAAATCCTACTTTTACTCTCGGTTGGTTTTTATAACCGAGATGATAAGTGAAAATTTTATTTACGAAAAGAGCTTTTATCTAAGTTGGGAGTTCCAACCAAGAAAAAATCACTTGTTATATATATATATATATATATATATATATATATATATATATATATATATATATATATATATATATATATATATATATATATATATATATATATATATATATATATATATATATATATATATATATATATATATATATATATATATATATATATATATATATATATATATATATATATTTATTGTTGTATCCCAAAATTTGCCCTCTCATTTCTCAAAGGATCACCCTGGACCCTCAGGATTGTTCCCATCCAATTTTAAACCTTGAATTATAAATTTTCCAAGAAAGTCATTCACAAGAACAAAATGGTAATTTGCATACTAAAAAGTCAAACTTTGACTTTTGGATCAAAAAATCACGTTCCAAGAATCATATTTCATCAAGGCATGAAGTTTGTTTCATCAAGAAATTCAAAAGTCAAAATTACTATGGAAAAGTCAAAATTCTAAATACTTAGAATTTTTCTAAGTGTTTAAGAAATATGACAAATTCAGAACTTCTGATCAGATTATCACCATGATGCAAGCTGATTCTAGAAGAACTTCTGGCACAAAAGTTATAGATTTCAATAAGATATAAAATATTGTAGAACACAACTTCTCCTAGAAATGCTGGGATTTCAAGTTAAATCCTCAAAGAAACGTCCCTGAAACTGAAGCATTCAGCAAATTCCGGACACTTTCAAAACAGATTTTGGTCAGAACTTCTGGGCCAGTTTTCACAAAGGTTCAGTCAGAGTTTGCAAGGGTAATTCAAAGAAGGTTACAAAGCGTGCTGCAAGCTTCCTTGAAAGTCTGAGAACTCCTTCAGAATATGCTGGAGCAAGGAGATACAAAGATCAGAAGTTAGATGTCTATTCTAAGTTACGCTGAAGCTGAATTTCTGATCCATCATTAAGCAATGATGCAGAATCTCACATTGCAGGATTTCTGGTTGGATAAATCTCATCATCATTTAATGCTCACAACCACTTTTGGGTCTTTATCCAAAGGACTTCCCCACGTGTGGCATAGAAATACCATTACTGTCTTGGAAAAGCAAACTTTTGTACAAGATTGTGTTGGGCCCATACGTTGCTTTTGATTTTGAAGTTACATTTCCTTAATTCCTGCTTGCAAATCCAACTTAGGCGCTGCTAAGACTGCTAACCACCATACCTATTTGAACTTGCTTCAAGAACAAGTCAGCGTCTAGCATATGATGGTTGTATCCTTGACCTCTCCAAACTACTAGACCTTTTCCTATAAATTGAACTTCATTGGTCACCGTAAAGGGTCGGAAATTTGAGAAAGAAAAAGCCTTGAACCCTTGCTAAAATTCCAAGAGTCCAAAACTGCAAACACAAAAATACAAAACTTGTGAGCTTTTGATTCTTGCATTCAGACTACATTTTTTTCCTCAAGTGTTTCTTGACCAAAGCCATCCATACAGTTTTTGATATACATCCAAAAGCCATCTTAATTTCTATAGTCAAGCTGTAACACACTCTCCATCTCATCCCTCTCAAAGAAGTAAGAACTTTGCTCCTTGGCTGTTCTAGAATTTTCCAATCATTCATAGCCCAAGTTGAAAGCTTCCAGCCTGCTGAGTACGTGAAGAAGATGTTCAGAACATCACCAGAGTTTAGAACCAGACTCCAACTCACAGAGTATTTTCCAGCTGCAAGGTAAGCTTCTGCTGACTCTAATCATATAACTTAGGCATTGTCAGATTTGCATGTTCAAAGATACAATGTAGATATCATGATTCTGATGTTGTACGTATTCTGAGGTTTCACGTATTTGTATGCCTAAGTAGGGATTAAATTAGTTCAGAACTTCTTAAGGAAATTAGGATTATAAAATTCATGCTTGCTTCTGATTTATAGTTCCGATATCTCTTGTTTCTGAAACATTATGAAACCTTCCATAACTGTTATATGCGCATCTTCTGTTCTGTTGAGAAATGACTAAGTTGCAGATATTCTGACTAGTATGGAGAGGGAGACTAGGTTCTGCCAGTGGCATCAGAACTTCTGAAATCTTCTTTGTTTCCAGCGGACCCAGAACTTCTGACTTTACCTATTTCTTCTAATATGATTTCTGTTATTGCTGCACGCCAGAGTCAGAACTTCTGATCTCTTTTAGTTCAGCAATACGCTGATTCTATTTTCTTTTTCCTTACTACTTTTTTGCTATCGCTTCTATTTTCACTAATCAAAAACACCAAAAACATTTTACATTTTACATGGTTTATTTTATTTCTTAAAACAAAAAAATCAAAAATATTTTCTTAAACAAAACTTATTTCTTTTCTTAAACAAAAAAAGTCTATTTCAGATTTTCTTGTACATTATTATCCATTCAATATGGTTGTAATAGTAACTTAGGATTTGATTTTATTTGCAATCTCCATTTGTAAATTTGTACACCCTATCCCCCTAATGATTGTAATAGCATAGGATATTTATTTTTCGCACTTTTTATTACTTTCATATATTGCTAGTAATTAGGGTGTGTATGACAAAATATGAAATCAATAAGTAGCAAATCCTAATCAAGACAAAAAAATGCATGCAATCGAACACACTTTGCACATGCGCACACCTTAGGGTAATCTTCCTTGTTGCCTATCGGAAAAATAGTCATGTCCCTCGAACATGGGCGTTTTAGCAAAGACCCTCGATAAAAGATCATAGTCCCTCGATGTTTCCTTTGGTAAACGATCTAGTCCCTAAAAAATATTGCTAAAACATCCATATGTTGCCTTCTATGACTATACGATGACCCACACCCGTCTCTTGACTAACTAATTTGCTATGTATGTTTGGCGAAAATAGGCAGACATCATGTATATTAATATGCGATTTAATGTACTTTTTAGTAGTAATATTTAAGAAATGAATGGATTTGGAGTTAAATTAAGTGAAATGTGAATATAGACCAAAATCTGACATAAGATGATTCACCTATAACTAATTGCCAACTTCATTAGTTAAGATGATTCATACATGTAGTATTTATAAGATGATTCATGCATGTAGTTAATTATTCAAAATATACAATTCTTTTCTATGATTTACCATACAAAATAA